GATGATTATGTAAGGTCATTGATGATCCCTATGCATTTTTTAACTCATTGTGTATCTTAGATGGTAGGCGTACATGCCTGGTTGCTACAAACAAGGTAGCAAATCTGAAACCAATACTCTCTTCACCATGCAGTTTAAGAATACTTTCAACAAACATGAACCATGTTGTTTAGCGATAATAAATCACGAGAGGGAAGATATTACAACAATAGAGAAGGTCCCTAAATAAATTAAATGATTCCTAGGTTATATTTAGTTGTGATGCCTAAAAAATTCCTAAACAAACTTCCACAAAATAGAGAAGTAAACCACGATATTAAGTTAGACCTGGGTTACAAACCACCATCCAAATCCCCTTTTCTAATGGTGCCACCTAAGCTTGTGGAATTAAGGAACCAGTTGAAAGAGCTCTTAGATGTCAAACACATTTTCCTTTTGAAATCCCTTATGGTGCATTTAATTGTTCCAAGGGAAGAGTATGGTTCTCTATAGATGTGAATATACTATTAGGCACTTAACAAGGTAATGATAAAGAGTGAATACATGGTCCCACTTATTATCGATTTATTCTATCAACTAATGAAAGCACAATACAGTTCCAATTTTGATTGAGATAAAGTAGTATTAAGTATGAATTGTTGAAAGATATGAGTCAAAGGCCACTTGGGTCATAGGGTATGGATCTTTTAAGTTCATATTCATGTCATTTGGCTTGACGAATTGATCATCTTCATTTTGTACTTGAATAAACAAGAAGTTTCACCCATTCCTTGATAAAGATGTGGTGATATATTTTGATGACTTTATAGTTTATAGTCAGTACTTGGAAGAGCATATATCTTATTAGAGATAGGTGTTCCAGGTCTTTTGGGGAAAAAATCTATGGGAATACTGAGAGATGTTCATTTGCTCAAGGAGTGGTGGAATTTTTAGGTTACAAAGTTAAATATGGTCGGTTACTAATGGATGAAGTCAAATTCAATGTGATTTAAGACTAGGAAGAACAACTAAGTTTACTAAGCTTCAATCATTCATTGTTTTGGTTAACTACTATCGATGCTTCATCAAAGGGTATTTCATTCGAGCATACCCTTTGATAGACATTTTTAAGAAGGATAGAGCTTGGAGATGGGATGATCACTTTTAAACAGCCTTCTAAGTACTAAACGATATAGTGGAAAGGGATCTGAATGTGACTAAACCATTCGAGTTACATATGGATGTGTCAGATTTTCCATATGTGGAGTCTTAATGAAAGAGAGATACCCCAATATATATGAAAGTCAGAAATTAAATAAGGCAGAAAGGCGAGATATGGTCCAAGAAAAAAAGATGACTATCGTTATTCATTGTTTACGAGTTTAAAGTCAGTATTTACTTGACACAAGCTTTGTGATAAAGAAACAAAATATTGCCACAAGATACTTTCAGACCCAAAAGAATCTAAAACCGAATCAAGCCCAATAGTAATATTTCTTATCCAAGTTTAAGTATGCGCTCTAGTATAAACCGGGGAAGACAGATGTCCTTATAGATTTGTTGAGTCATAAGTTCAATTATCATTGATCATACAAGCATAATTACTCTTGCACGTTCAAATCACAAAAGGTTAAATCATGATATATTTGTTAAGAACCTAATCGTTATGGCTCAAGAAAGAAAGACCAGGTGTTTTGGCTCAGGGGAGACTTGTTATTATAAGGGGTTGGGGTCGATTGTTCATTCTCAAGATGAACTTCGATGGAGCATCATTAAATAATATCATGATTCAATGTAGGAAGAACACCCGGGGATCAAGAGAATGGAAGAATTGATCAATAACACTTACTATTAGCCACATGTATGAGATGATATTGAAAGGTATGTTTGAATGTGATATGTATGCCAACAAGAAAAGATCGAGAAACACCCACCATAAGGACTATCATAACAATTACCAATTCCCAAAGGCCATGTGAGCACGTATCAATGCACTTTATCACTTACTTACCGAAGTCGGAAGGTTGTGGGAGTATTATTGTTATGGTGGATCGATTATCAAAGTATAGTACCTTCACCACATCCCAAGCTATTCTTCAAAGTATGGTACCTTCATCACATCCCAAGCTATTCATCATATCCCACGGTGCAATCCCGCCCGATTGCACCGTGGATAAACCAATTAATCTATTCTTCAAAGATGTAGTGAATTATTGGGGAGTTCCACAAGTAAATGTAACGGGTCTAGACCTTCAATTTCACATGAAATTTTGGATGAAGTTGTTTAAAAAAAAAAGAGATGTCGTTAAACTACTCAACATGCTTCCACCCTTAAATGAACAAGGAAAAGAGAGGGGGAACACTTTACTTGAATTATATGTAGGGACCTATGTGAGTACCAATCAAAGAAATTGTCGAAAATCCTAATATAACTCATTTTTTCCTATAATATGTAAAAGAGTGAAGCCACATATTAGAAGCCCGTTTGAGAGAGTGTCATATGACGATAACCTTTGAACTCAAATTCCTTAGCTAAGCATACAATGGAAATAGCCAACCTGATTATAAGTCAGTATATGAATGACATGAAAAGAACATATATGGGTCAAAATTTGTTAGATAAAACATCTAAGAAAATGAAGAAATTAACAGATAAGGAGAGAAGTCATGTAAAGTTCCAAGTTTGGGATTTAGTGATCTTAAAGCTCCTACGTTAATAATTCATACGATAGAGGTATGAAGGTCCTTTATTGGTAATATGAGTGTAATAAAGTCTCATCTTGGCCCGAACTCCCTCGCAAGTTAAAGATTCGTCTAGTTTTCCATGTTAGTGTCCTCAAATCATATCATGAAGACTTGGAATATCTAATAAAGCACCAATAACAGCAATTATACTAAGATAATAAAAAGTTTTTTTGAATAGAACAATAAGGAAATAAGGAATGCCAAGATTCAGTTTGTACTTAAGCAAGTGGCGAAATCTACCTGAAATCAAGGCAACTACGAACTGAAAGATTCATTATGTTAGTTAAGGGATGAGATCAAGAAGTACCACGAGGAAGATGTGAAGAAGATGCCGCAAGATTAGATGGGGGAGCATGTAACAAACCATCTTATTCAAATACATTTTGAAGATCTATGAATATTCATCTTCTATAAACATTCTAAACGATGTATCCTAAATTGTTTGCCTTTTGTATAAATAGGGTTCTCCCATTTCATTTGTACTCACTTTGTAATTGAGTTGGAGTTCTTAAAGGAAATAATGAGGTTCTAAACATTTAATCAAGTCTCTAAAAGGCGTAAGGTGTGGTGTGTCAGCAAGACCAAGCCTCAAGCTTTATGAGTCATAACAACGCCATGCCATTTTTCAAGGTGTGATCCAAGGTGACAATTTTGTAGTAATTTATAAATATATTATCACATAAATATAAGGTCAAAGTGAATATACCCTTAAAGGTATATATGCTTACATACCCAAACTCACCATACTACGGCATTTTGTATCATATATGCATTGTAATTGTCTAAAGTTTTTAAAATTCAGCTCCTAACTTGATTTAATTACAAGATTTTTATAAATTTCATCATTATCTTCCTCTTACATAATTTTCATTTTCAACTATATTATATATAGTATGGTAGGTGTTCAGTAGAAAGATGTAATGTAAGAGAAAAGATAACAGTGAGATTTCAAAAATCTTGAAAGTAAATCAAGTTATGGATTGAAGTTTAAGAAAATTATAATGCATATATGATACAAAACTACCTATTATGGTGGATTTAGGTACCTAAGCTTATATACATTTAAGGGTATATTCACTTATCCCTAAATATAAATTTATATCAAATATATAAAGTTTTTAGAAGTGTTATATCAACAACTAATAACAAAACATTAACAAAAACTTAATGGTTGTATGATAAATCAAAAAAGACGTAATAAATAACAAAAGACATGCCTCGAAAGAAAATAAATTTGTATCTTAATGCACCATGGAACACCATAGCATGCCTTGCCATGAATCACACCTAACAACAACATCATGAGGCTTTTCGAAATGGTGGAGTTGCGCCTCAAGCCTTGGTGCACCTTTTTTAACACAAATATTCCTCCTTTCCTTGATCTAGTATGGTTTGGTTTGATTTTGACCGACTTAGTCTGAAGCTAAGCAACACAGTGTGAAATTAAATAGTCAAAAAGACTATAACACTATGGGTTCACCATGGGTCATCCATACTCCATAGAGCTTATCTTTTTCAATATAATGGTCAATATGTGATTAGGGACATGTATAATTCACTATTCACTTCAATAAAGTTACTAACTAAATCAAAACTATTTAGCTGGTTTGACTGAATTTACGAGGGAGAAAAAGTTTCATATAACTTTAGTTTTTTTTTTTCTTGCAAGCCTTTTTGCCTCTTTCATACTACTTCAACAGATCAATAAAAAGATATGAAAGTTAATATGAGAAACTCACACTAGTGTTAGCATATTATATTTGTTTGTATTGTGTTTAGTTATGTATTGTTTTGTATAGCCCAATTCTGTTCAACATATTGTTTCCAGGATTTTCTCTATGTAACCTATATATTGTGATTAATTAGTGAAGGAGATTTCACGGGAAAATAATCAAATTACATGGTATCAAACCCCTCTTCAAAACCCTACGTCTAAGTCAAGATTCTTCTGCTTATCATTGATCTTTATATTGTGGTTCATTCTTCCCCTCCCCTCCTTCTATCTCCCATCTTCATCATGCCTGAACCTGGAATCTCCCAAGTTAAAGTCATCTTCAATCATCTCTGACAAGCTATCCTCCACCATTAATATCAAGCATGCTGTTCCATTGCTTCTTGACTTGGACAGGATGAATTATGATGTATGGAGGGAATTGTTTAAACTCCATTACAGAGGGTATGGAGTTGCTGATCACTTACAACCTCCTAATGAGAAACAACCATCTACTTCTAATCCTAATGAATGGGATAAGTTGGACTCTATTGTCAAATCATGGATGTATGAGACTCTTTCTACTTCACCCCTTCAATTGATTTTTAAGAAAAAAGTTCCTGCTTATGAAGTATGGCAGAACATTGAGAAAGCTTTTCGAGACAATAAGGTTAACAAAGTTATCCAGATTGATAACAAACTGAGAAACATCTCTATGGGTAACTCTAATAATACCGAATATTGCAACCGCATCAAAAATATTGCAGATTTGTTAGAAAACATGGATGCCAAAGTTTTGTAGGCGAATCTTGTTACCTACACTTTGAATGAGCTATCTCCAAAGTTTTGATACGTCGCCACTTCCATTTGGATAAGAGATCTCATACATCTTTCTAGGATACTCGATCCATTCTAACTCAAGGAGAACTTTAGATCAAACAAGATGAAGCTTGTGTTTTTGTTCAAAATCTATATGACAGCTCGTCTTTTCCAACTGTTCTGGTCACGGATGGAACTCACCAGAACAATACCAAATGTTTAGGCGGCTACCATGGTGGACGATGCGGCAGAAATCAACGTGGAGGCCAAGATGGTGGTCGATTCAACGATGGGAATAATTACTCTGGTGACTACATGACAATTTTCAGTCCGGTGGGGGAAATCGCAGCTTCAGCGGAAGCAATAGAAGTGACGGTGCATGGGTCTTTGGTTGGTAGCAGGTTACGCCTGGTGTTCGTCCATCATAGCAACGTAGCCTATTGCCTACTCCTCCAAATGGGCCTCAACAACATCAGCACCAAGTCTAACATCAACCAAGCCATCAATTTTTTCAGTATTCTACTGACCGAACTCCATCACATCAGGTATTATCTCCACACTAAGTTTCGAGTTTTCAATGACCGAACTAGGTTATCTTCATTATTTCTTGGGTGTTTCAACTATTCGATCCTAAACCAGTCTCTTTTTATCTCAATAGAAATATGCTACTGAAATTCTAGAACATGCCTCAATGCTTAACTGCAAACCATCCCGCACTCCTACTGATCTTGATGCTAAGCTTGATAGTTATGGTCCTCCTGTTGATGATCCCACTTTATATCGTAGTCTTGCTGGTGCATTGCAGTGTCTCACACTCACTAGACATGACATTTCTTATGTTGTTCAGCAGGTCTATCTATATATGCATGACCATTGGGAACCACATTTTACAACTCTTAAGCATCTTTTATGCTATATTCATGGTACTACTGGTCATAGATCACAACTTTATAGCTCTTCGTCTCGTGACATAATTACATACTCAGATGCTGATTGGGTTTGTTGTCCTGTTTCTTGGTGGTCTACTTTGGGATAGTGTGTCTTTTTAGGACACAATCTTCTTTCCTGGTCATCTAAACGTCAACACACTGTCTCTCACTCTGGTGTAGAAGCAGAATATTGTGGGGTTGCCAATGTTGTTGCTGAAACATGTTGGTTCGTCACTTACTTCTAGAACTACATTACTCACCTCATCGAGCAACTATTGTATACTGTGAAAACGTGAGTGTTGTGTACATGTCTGCCAACCCGGTTCAACATCAACGGACCAAACATATTGAGATTGATCTTCATTTTGTTCGGAACAAGGTTTCAACAGGTCATATTCGTGTTTTACATGTACCATCTTCATCTCAATACACAAACATTTTCACCAAGAGCCTTCCATCACCGCTTTTTCTTGACTTTCGGCCTAGCTTGAATGTTCGCGATTCTCCTCCCGTTCACACTCTGGGAGCTGTTAGCAGATTATATTCGTTTGTATTGTGTTTAGTTTTTTACTGTTTAGTATAGCCCAATTTTGTTCAGCTCATTGTATTCATGCTTTTTTTTTTATGTAACCTGTATATTGTGATTAATGAATGAAGGAGTTTTCACGAGAAAATAATCAAATTACAACTAGAGCTATTTGTTTACATCATTTGATTTCGATGTCGATCTATTATTGTTTTAAGAAATCTTTTCAGTTAAATCGTTTTATGATTGGTTTAACCGAGTCTAGTAATTTTTCTGACTAATTGCATAAAATTACTAAAGGTCAAAACTAAATATGCTGATCATTTACACAAGTGAAAAGAAAACAAAGATAAAATAGTGAAACAAAATTTATTAAGATCACAAAAATCACAAATTGGCATATGTACAAGGATGAAATTGTACTATTAAACCAAGAAAAAACAAAACAAGTGAAGAGGGCCTGAGTTTTAAATGTCAAGAAAGGGACAAGGACCCACTTGGCACTTGCTATCTCTTTCTCTCTCCTTGCACTTTTTGCCCTTTCTGTAGATATTTTGTGATGTGTTGTCAGATATTTTACACACCTCCGCAATCAACACCTACCTCACAACAAATACCCGAACACAAGAACAGATTAGGAAAAGAGAAAAAAAATCTGAAGACTGAAAAGCTCTCTTCTTTATTAGGGTTTTAAGCGTCTGAAACTCAAAAAGATCTCAACTATAGCCCTCTTTATCTTGGTAAGCTACTAAGCTTTATGGGTTCTGTTTCTTGAAACTTTATAGAAATGGGGTTTTATGGGTTTGTTTGATTTGTCGTCACCTATAAGGTCTGGTTCGATTCATCGATGAGCATTTCTTTATTGTGAATCTTTTTCGATGAAGTTTTCATCTTCTTTGTCGGTATTCGGCTATTTTCACCGGCTTCGTTTTGATTTTGTCGAAAATTTGAGCTTGGATTATCATCGTATATGCTTGTTTTCAGCTTGATCTGCTCCACTTTAAGTTTCGATTAACTTTCTCCCATTTTTATCGGTTTATTTAGGTTTTTACTGCTTACTGATTCTTAATTTTGCAACCCACAAATCAATTTGAAGTCTTTTCTACTTCCCTTTAGTTTTCTAGATTCTGTTTTACCTTTTGTTCAGATGCAAGATGCTTAAAACCCTTTCACTTCGAAGCTTTTATTCCTTTGGCTTCCATCAATTTCGTATTATAGATTGTTTCAGCAACCATTTTGTCAAGAAACTACACATTTATTCTATGATTTTATCAATAAGATCTAATCAACTTCTTCATATTGCGAATCAATTACGTGCATTCATTTGATCTAATTCGAAAATTTTCATTTATCCTGATTGATGCAGATGACTTGATCTCACAAGGACAGTAAAAAGTCCACTTTGACAGGATCTTGCACGTTTTTCTGAAGTATAAAGTTAGAAGAGATCAAAATCTTGATCTGGGTAACGTCTTTTCTTGAAAACATGGGGTACAATTGTGATTACTGTGGGGAGGCAAGATCAATGGTGTATTGTCGATCAGATGCAGCTTACTTGTGCTTATCATGTGATCGAAATGTTCACTCTGCAAATCCACTATCAAAGCGCCACATGAGAACGCTTGTATGTGATACATGTAATTCACAGCCTGCGGTTGTTAGATGTGTGGATGAAAAAGCATCTCTTTGTCAGAATTGTGATTGGGTAGGTCACAATGGAGCTAATTCAAGTGCAAGTTCACATAGTCGACAAACGTTAAATTGTTATTCAGGATGCCCTTCGGCTGTTGAACTTTCTTCTATTTGGTCCTTTATGGAATCTTGTGAACAAGATATGGAATCAATGAGCATCGCTGATAACAGCCAAGAACATTCTGAAAACAAGACTCAAGATTCATCACTGCCAGATGAGAATAAGAGTGATTGGATGGGTTCTTTCAACGTCCAGGGTGATGATAATAAGTCGCAAGACATCTTTCACCAAGTAAAACCCTTGAATTCTTCTCAATCAAAGGTAAAATTTTCTTCCTTTTCAGTTATCGTTAGTTCAATTTTGTTATAGTTGAAGTGGGTTGATCACAAAAGCTTTAAATTTTTGATCTTTTGCATTTTTATTACTTCCAAGATTATAAAAATTGAAGATTACAAAATCTTTTACTTTTTAATCTTTATGGACTTTTTTTTTGCATCTTTATTAGTTCAAGATTGTAATAATTGAAGTGGACTGATCAGAAAATCTTAAATTTTAAATCTTTATCGAGTTTTTGCATCTTTATTAGTTCAAGATTGTAATAATTGAAGTGGGTTGATCACAAGATCTTAAATTTTCAATCTTTATGGAGTTTTTTCATCTTTATTAGTTCAAGATTGTAATAATTGAAGTGGGTTGATCACAAAATCGTTAAATTTTCAATCTTTATCGAGTTTTTTCTATCTTTATTAGTTAAAGACTGTAATAACCTAAGTGGGTTGATCACAAGATCTTAAATTTTCAATCTTTATCGAGTTTTTTGCATCTTTATTAGTTCAAGATTGTAACAATCCAAGTGGGTTGATCACAAAATCTTTAAATTTTCAATCTTTATTGAGTTGTTTTGCATGATTTACTCTCAGGTATCATATTCAAGGACAAAAGATTCTGAACAACTCGTGGATGATGGGCTCTACGATGATTTCACCATGGATGAAGTTGACATGAACATCGAAAACTATGAAGAACTCTTTGGTGTAGGCCATAACGACCCAAAACATCTTTTTGCAAAAGATGGAATCGATAGCTTGTTTGGCATGAGAGACTCAACAAAGGTATCTATCTCTATCACTCTCATACATATTTTTTTAGCTTCTAAAATTAACACAACTTACTAAAAAAAAACATTATATTTTCAAAATTTTTGCAGTTTAACCTCTCATACATCATCTTTTTCCAAATTAACCATTTTGACCTGCCTAAAATCAACGGCTTTTTCGTAATTTCCCCTTAAAAGTTATACATTTACTAGTTGCTAATAACTTTTGATTATTTTAGGAGCCAGAATGCAGTCAAGCAGCCTCAGTGGATTCATTAATGAGCTGCAAAACCGAACCAAACGCGTGTTATGCAAAGCAACATTCAAATCTTTCATTTTCAAGTCTAACTGGTGGTGATAGCAGTGGTGGTGAATATCAAGACTGTGGGGCCTCATCTGTGGTTCCAATGGGTGAGCCACCTTGGTGCACCCCTGGTCCAGGAAGCACTAGTATCAGGAGTGATGCTGTTCTTCGTTACAAGGAAAAAAAGAAGATGCGCAAGTGAGTGTGTTTTCATGTTACACGTGTTAAAATTTCATCTTTTTATATCACGAAATCGCCCTTTTGACACTCGATTTTTTGTGTAGATTTGAGAAGAGAGTAAGGTATGCAACGCGAAAGGCGAGGGCAGATGTGAGAAAACGTGTGAAAGGTCGGTTTATTAAGGCTGGTGAGGCTTATGATTATGATCCCATGACTGAAACGAGAAGCTTCTGAGAACCACATGTATGAAAACTGTCGAATCAAATCCTTGTTTAACTTGTCATCTTACTTGGTAAGAAGATGAGTGAAGAGAATTTAGTGATGGTGAATTGTTATGTTTCTGATTGATGGTATGTACAGGATGAAGAAGATCTTTGTAAATTACAGATGGATTTAGGGTTTGAGTCTTGACAATTTTATAGTTCGTCTGTTGATGGATTTTATGTTTTGTAGTGTGTAGTATTTTTGGGGAAGTTTTAAGGATTCCATTCTTGTTTTCTGAGATTGTTTCGAGCAAGAATAAGGTAGTTTCTGTTCGAGGTATGGTAGCTTTGGTGTAACATGAAAAGAAATCAATAAAGACGGATTGGATTTTAGATACCCATGTAGTGAGAATAAGCACCAATGAAGTTGATAACGAACATGCAAAATGTAGCAAGGTTTAAATCAACAAAATTATGTTTATATTTCTTTCATAGGATGTGGCCATTGCGTTATCTCAATTGGGCATTTGAGATTCTTTTCGGTGTTAAAGGTTTTCTATGATAAGATAAGGGAAAATGTTAGTGCAGCACAATTAATTATTGCTATTTATGAGATTTGGTCTGTTATTTTATTGCGCAATGGGTCACTATTTGTTCGTTAATTTTAAACAACAGTCACTCCAAAAAATCCTACCGTGTGGCCTCAAGTTTCCGCAAGCTATATAAACCCGTTAACAAGCCTACGTGGTTACCCCGTTAACAAGCCTACGTGGAAGCATGATGTGTTGAGAAAGCTTATGTGACAGTGATAAGTAAAATGTGACTGTAGCACAATCAATATAACCCTATTTACAGTGTTAAGTAAAATGTGACTATAGTATAATCAATATTGCAATTTACCCTATTTAGTCACTAATCTATTTTTTATACATTAAGTAATTAAATTTACAAGTTACATGTCATTTAAGTCACTTTCGTTAATTTTTGTGAATCCCCGGTTATCGATTCTATGTGATTGACTTGTAAGATTAGAGAACGTAAGAGATGGAGAGGAGGGGGTTTGAGAAAATTTATAGATCAAGAGTAAGAGCGTATTTGGTGGTGCTTGAAAAATTAGATGACTTGTGCTTGTAATGAAACAATGTTGAGTTTTGCTTTTTCTTACAAGATTTTCAGGAGTGAACACATTAGATTGATGAGGTTGTAGGTGCAGCTAGGGGTGGTAGCGTAGAGCCAAATAAGTGTCATTTACAAGCCAACCAACTACGTAGGTTGGGCAATTGAGGATTCGTTAAAAATTAATGAAAATGACTTAATTGATGGGTCGCTTGTAAATTTAATGACCTATCGTGAAAAATAAATAAATAAATAAATAATCAAATCAAGTAAATGACAATAGTTGATTGTGCATTTTCCCTTTAAAAATGGTGGATGACTGATGATGTGATCCCCTGCCACGTAACCTTGCGTCACACTTCAACGTAGGTTCAGGGAAAACCATTTAAAATTAACGAAAGTGCATTAAAGGGTAACTTGTAAATTTAGTGACCTATTGCACAAAAAATAGTTTAGTAACCAAATCAAGTATATAACAATAGCTGATTGTGCTGTAGTGATACTTTCTTATAAGATAAAAAGTATAAACATCTCTTTGATTCCGGATCAAATTGTTTAGGATTAGGTTGAAGACTAGCATTACTTTCTTTTCTTTGGAACATTACACTATACCTTTTCAAATTTCGCGATAGGATAAAGTTTTTAGATATTTGAATAACAAAACACAAATATAAGATGTAAATAAAATTAAAGAACAGGATTGTGTTGTGTCCACTGGCAAAGTAGAGATAACTTATATTGATTTCGTAACTATGTTTACACTTACATTGAGATCTATCAAGTGGCCAGAGTATAGATGATTTATATTGATTTCCTAACTAGGTTTACAATTACATTGAGATCTACCATGTGGAAAAAGTAGAGATGGTTTATATTGATTTCATAACTAGGTTCCCAATTACATTAAGATCTATTTGTAGAGTTAATTTTTTTTATTTCAACCATAAAAGTAAAACTGGATATGGGTTGGGATTATTTGATCCCTTCGTAAAGAAGTTGCCTTTTTACCCCACACAATGTTTCAGGGGCAAGACCTTATCACTTAGTCATTTTAGGGGTGATCAACGAACAACCAACTGCCTTCCAATACCTCTCGTAAACTCAAAATTGTGCAACATCATCTCTCTAGTTTGATGTCTTCTCATCAATTATCTAGAAGACCCTTGAAACTGGAAAAATATTCAACTTATCATTTTGTTGCCATATATATATATATATATATATATATATATATATATATATATATATATATATATATATATATATATATATATATATATATATATATATATATATATATATATGTTGGATTCTTGGTAACAATGATATTTCTTAAGGATGTGTCATCATTTATATACCCCTTAGTATAATTTTTAAGCTCACACTACCTTTAAATCTCTCACTCCCATTTGAGCTCCCACTAACTAGGGTTTAGCAAAATCAAAATCGAAAACCGATAAAACCGAAACCAAAACATCGGTTTTGTGTTCTAATTTTTTAAAACTAAAAAATTCGGTTTTTCTTTCAATTTGTGAACCGAACCCGTAATACTGAACCGACCCAATGATATTGAAACTGATCAAAAACCAACCTAATGGCGGAACCAGAAAGAAAAATCAGTGGTTACACAATATTTTTAGAGGTTGCACTACTAGAAAAAAAAATCATTTTTGAAAACAGTTTCCGTCACAAAATCATCACTAAACCAACGAATTTACATTAAATTCACAATTATCAGACTTTGTGATGGAGTGCCAACGGATTCATGACAGATTTGTGACGGATTTTCAGTGGATTTTTGATGGATTTTTACTAAATTTACATTTGACGGTAAATTTGAAGGGTAGCCCACGTTACCCTGTGCAACATAGTAAATCCGCCCATGAAGCAACCTATTGGTTTTGAAACCGACCCGATATATTATTATTAGTTATTTAATATATTTAATAAATATTATATATTTTATTAAAAAATAAATGGAAAATGACACTATTGTACTATAAACTTTTGCTATTTATCCGATTTGTTCATTATAGGTTTTTTATTTTTGTTTTTTGTTTTTTGCACAGTAGGTCATTAAAGTCCCATTTCACCTGTTAAATAGATGAATCTTGAGAATTACTTCCCGTTTCATCGGTTACCTTGGCTTAGGTGACTTTTTTTTTTTTTTTTTAATATTTTAAAATTTAAAAAATCAGATATTTATGTACGTGGCTTTTCTTTTTCTCATAATTTAAAACTCATTACTCCTTATGATTTTGAAGAAAAGCACCACTGCTACCATTACTTCTTCTTAGGTACCATAACCACCCTAGCAACTGACTGAAGCTTTAATTTGTTTAATTTTTTTGCTGAAAATGTGTTCCAGTTGTTCTTCATCGTCCCTCCGTATGAACTCATCCCCTACACCACCAATCACCATGTTATCGTACCATCTAATCCTCAACCGACAACCCACCTGCAACCGCAACCTCCAAAACTTTCTATCGCCAACTCCGACAAATGTCACTACTAGCCTGTACCACAACCACATCAGTATATTCGCTCTCAGCCGATCCCACGCCCTCTGTTGATCTCTCTACCTCCACCTCCCCCCTCCTTCGCCAACAACGAAAACAATAAATCCCATCATAACTTCTTTGTGTTCCATCAGCTGCAACAATTGACAATTCCACTAACAAAAGAAACGATCCCTTTTTCAAATCGACAATTATATTTGAATACATTCGGTATCGTGTTTCTCTTCTTTTGAATACCCTTAAGATGGAATTAGAAGATCATTAACTGTTGCTAAATCTAATTGTTTCCTGATTCTTAACTCAAACCCATCTCAACAATCGTTATTAGCTTCTAAAATAATTGTGTATTGCAGCAATTCAAATAGTAATTCACATGAGACAACCCCGCTATCGAGAACAAAAAGTTGTCTCCTTGCGTTTGGCTTGTATACATCGCCATTAAACCCATCTTCATCTTCATCAGAAAGAACTGGATATTTGATTGGTTTGATCGGTTCTCCAAGATAAATCAGCTTATGTAACGCTTTTGAGATGACTGAATCAATGCAAGCATCAACTAACCCTAGTTTTGTTGCTTGTTGAAGAATGATTTGATTTTATGTGGCTTTCAAGGATCTAATCGATTTGTTCCAACCTGTTATGATTTGGTGTTCGAAGAATGATAAAGCTTGATTTAAAAGATTATTGGGCTTGTGGTTATCAGTCATACCCAAATGACAAGCTAAACAAGAAACTGGAATGACGTTTTCTGGTGTGAAATTGACTTCAAAACCATAGTAGAATCTTGTCATGAGCTCAAAAAATTCAGGGGTTGTTGGCAAGGTTGTAGAACTCGTTACTCGGTACTTGTTCGACTAACTACCAAGTAGCGAGTACTTGGAAGTACTCGGGAGTACTCGGGGAGTACTCGGATTCGGTAATTCATGTAGAAATATTTTTAGGGAAATTATCTATGTCAAAATTATAAGTTAAAACCATAAGTTGATTGAAATATATAACCAAATTAGATAAATGTGAATACACAAATACTGAAAAACACATAATGGTCTCACTTCGTGAGTAATTACTGAAAATTTAAGATATATATGTAATAATAATCACATGTGTGTTAAATAATAAATCACTAAGTATATTATATATATTAATCACCGATTTGACCAATTTTTACAACATTGCTCAGTTCAGTAAGGGACTGATCGGAGAGTACTTGAGATTCTGTAACTCGAATCCATAAGGAGCGGAGTAACGAGTACTCGGAAGAGTAATCAGCCAACTCGGCGAGTTTTACAACATTAGTTGTTGGGATATCATAAAGACAAGAAAGATCTTCATCTGAGTTTTTTTTTTTTTTTTTTTTTTTGAAAAAGCTTATAAAGTTTTGATGGTCTTGCAGCAAGATCCTGTAATTTTCATGAAGAATGTAAACTTTGACTTTATTATGGTCAAAATGAAAAAAAAAAATGATTATTGAAAAAATTGAAAAAAAACAAAAAGGGAAAATGAAATTAAAACTGAAAAATAAAAAGGAAAAATGAAATTAAAGTCCATATAGAATTGGTTACCGGGTAACCGTTTCAAATTAATCAAATCGAAAAAATAACTAAAGTTTATTGTGTCACAGTTTCATTTTCTCATAAATAAAATATAGGAAAATAGAAACTCGAAGCACCTCTACCGGTCCAACATGTGATTCTAATATATATTTGGTTTAATTTTTTCTTTTCGTGAAGTGCTTACGTGCTGTTATTTAATATACCAAAATTTTCCTTCCAATATCTATCATAATTCATATGTATCGATTGACTTATAATATATATTATATCATAGTTCTGTTTAGTGCTTACATGCTTTTTCCTTAAAGTCATAATCTACAGATTGTAAAAGATGGTTTAACAAAGTATAGGTTTACCTGTTTAGTATTAATTTTTTATTTTTAT